AATAAGAACCAAGATGCATTATGTAAAGGTACAATTCCCTATGAGAAATGTAATTGTGTTGTATACCTACAATGTACCAATAAAAGAATTTAATAATAAAAAAAAAGAGCAGCTTAGGTGTTGTATTTACCCCTGTATTTGTGTAATGAGGATAAAGATTCACATAAAAGCTTATTTAGACAGATGAATGGATTTAAAAATGTAGTAGAAGGCCAATATAAATGAAATATAGATGAAAAAAATCCTCCATAAGTTTCTGGCAAATGGAATGCAGCAAATCATCAAGATTATATACCATGACCAAGTAGGATTCATCCCAGGGATGGTTCAACATATGCAAATCAATAAATGTAATACATCTTATTAACAGAGTGAAGGACAAAAATTGCACGATCATCTCAATAGACACAGAAAAAGCATTTGACAAAGTCCAACACCCATTCATGATTAAAAACCCTATAGAAAACTGGAATAGATGGTCTTTATCTCTAGCTGATAAAAATCATCTATGACAAATCAACAGTCAACATTATTCTAAATGGTCAAAAATTGAAAGCTTTCACTCTAAAATCAGGAACAAGAGAACGATGCCCCATCACCACTCCTATTCAATATAGCTCTGGAAACATAAGCCAGAGCATTAGACAAGAGAAAGAAATAAAATTAGTAAAGATAGGGAAGGAAGAAGTTAAATTACCATTATTTGCAGATGACACGATCCTTGCACAGAAGACCCCAAAAACTCCACCAAAAGACTTCTAGATTTAATAACCAAATTCAGTCCCGTAGCTGGATACAAAGTCAACATTTAAAAATCAATAACATTCCTATACACAAACAACAAACTTGCTGAGAGAGAATTAGGAAAACCACACCTTTCATAATGGCATCCAAAAAAGTGAACTATGCAGGAATCAATATAACAAATGAAGAAAAAGATCTTTACATTGAAAACTATAGTATTCTAAAAAAGGAGATTGAAAATGATATCAGAAAATGGAAAGATAGCCCTTGCTTTTAGTTTGGAAGAACCAACATAGTGAAAATGTTCATACTCCCAAAATTCTTACAGAGATATAATGCAATCCCAATCAAAATACCAATAGCATACCTCACAGAATTTGAAAAAAAAATCCTAAAATTTATTTGGAACCAGAAGAGACCTAGATTAGCAAAAACAATTGTGGGCAACAAAGGCAGGGCAGGAAACACCATAATCCCTGACTGGTACAAAACTACTATGATAAAAACATCATGATAATGGCAAGAAAAACAGGCTTGAGGATCAGTGTAACAGATTAGAAGATACACAAACAACTCCAAATACACTCAGGCACCTTACATTCCACAAAGGGGCCAAACATCTTCACTGGAAGAAACACGCCTCTGGAATAAATGGTGCTGAAAAAACTGGCTTTCCACATACTGAAGACTAAAACTATGTCCCTCACCATGCACTAAACTGAAATTAAAACAGATTAAAACTCTAAATATTAAAATAGAAACACTAAATCTGCAGGAAGATAGAATAGGTAGAACACTTGAAGACACAGATATAAGCAAAGACTTTATAAAAAAAAAACCAATCACAGGGAATATTACAAAGAATCAACAACTGGGATCTTATCTTATTAAAAAGCTTTTGGATGACAAGAAAACCACCAACAGAGTGAAGGGACAACCCATAGAGTGGAAAAAACCTTTTTGCCAGATGTTCTTCAGACACAGAACTAATATCTAGAATATATTTTTTAAAACTCAAAAAAATCATATCCCTCAAATTTAAAGACCCAATCCAAAAATGGGCATTCAAAATGAACAGACACTTCTCAGATGAAGAAGTACAAATGGCAAATAAATACATGGAAAAATGTTCAATATCACTGGTCATTTGAGAGATGCAAATTAAAACAAAATGATATAGGGGCCGGGGATTTAGTTCAGTCATGCTGCCTCCCGTCTGCCTCCCAAGCGCAAGGTTCCAAGTTCGATCCCCAGTTCCAAAAACAAACAAACAAACCTGAAATTCCATCTCGTTCCAGAAACAATGGCTATCATCAAGAAATCAATCAAGAACAAACACTGGTGGGGCTGTGGGGGAAAAAAGAGTCCTTCTCCACTGTTGTTGGGAGTGTAGAACAGTGCAATCATTGTGGAAATCTGTGTGGAAATTCTTCAAAAAACTAAAGCTAGAGGTTCCATTTGACCCAGCTATTCCCCTGCTGGGTATCTTCCCAAAAGAATTAAAAGCATTATACCACAGTGATATATGTACATCCATGTTTATAGCAGCATAGTTTATAATAGCTAAATCCTGGAAATAGGCCAAATGCCCATCAACAGATGAAAGGATAAAGCAGATGTGGTTTTTTTTAATACAATGGAGTACTACTCTGCCATAAAGAAGGATAAACTTGAGACACTTCTAGGTAAATGGATGCACCTTGAGACTATACTCTTAAGTGAAATAAACTGGACATACATGTGTAAATATCACATTGTTTCTCTGGTGTGAGAAACCGAAAGGGTAAATAAGGTCTAAAATGTGCAACAGATATTGGCAAACAGGAAGAAAATTCCAATTGGGAAGGGGAACAGGGTGGGGTGGGGAGATCAGGAGGGCAAAAGCAAAGAAGGGAAAAGAAAAAGAAAATAGAAGAAAAAATGGAAAGAAAGCTTTTGTAAATAAGGAGGGGGAAGAGGGGTTGAAGGGAGGGGTGGGGAATGGGAAAAAAAGAGAAGAATCAAGATATATCATGTAGAGGTACAAATTCCCTATGATGAACATGATCATTGTGTATATCTAAAATGTACCAATAAAATTAATTTTAAAAATTAAAAAAGCATAGTAGGTACATATAACAATATCATTCAACCTTTAAGAAGAAGGAAATCCTACCATATGAGAAAACATGAATGAACCTGAAAGGACATTATGTTAACTGCAATAAGCACAACATAATTCCAGTTACATGAGGTATCTAAAACAGTTGAACACAAAGGAGCAGAGATTAGAATGGTGGTCGCCAGGGCCTGGAAGGGAGGATAGATGGGAGTTGCTACTCAATTGGCATAACATTTCAGTTATGTAAGACAATTAAGTTCTAGAAATATACTGTATAATACTTTCCTATGTTACCAACTCTGTATTGCACCCTTTGAAGGGTGTGAATAAGAAATAGTGAATGCTGCTGTCAAGTGCCATCCAATAAAAAGGCAGGCTCATAAAACCATTACAGTGTGACCTCATTCACTTTATTCACTCTACCTACTACCATGAAACTTCTGGCTCTTCTCCAAAGTCAAAATGACCATGAAAGGTAAATATTTTTAATTGATTCAGGATATTGAGGCAATCACAAAAGTGCAACTAGAGATATTTACAAAAGAGAACTTCCAGAACTGCTTCAAAAAGTGGCAAGGACTATGAGATAAGTGTGTTTGAAGGTACTGGTAGTATTTTGAGGGGAATTAATGGCAATGTGTTTATTACTGTAATATATTTTTAAAAATTTAAACATTCACCATTTTTTCAGTCACACCTCATGTAGTAGTTAGTGTCATTTCCAAAATACTAAAAGCAGTAGCAGTCATGGAGGGCTGAAGAAATTATGCAAAATCTAAAAATAATAGAATTTAAAGTAAAATGTTGACAGAAATAGGAAATAAAGGTTAAAGCATACTACTATAGTACTTACTTTCTATGACATTAAAACTTTCTTATTCAGTATCTATAAAGTGGTAGGCATTGGACCTAACAATGAGTACCAAAACACTCATAAAGTTATGAGAAAAAATTATGAAATAATCAAATAAGGCATAATAAGTAATACAAATAAAAAGTACAAAAAGTATGACATAGTACTTTAAAATCACATATCAGATGGCTAGGATCTTGTATTTATATGTGTTGGGAAATACAGGTTGGTCAAGGAAGTGTATATGAATACATACAATAAATGGTACTTAGCTAAGAGTTCAAGGAAAAATAGGGGTTTACTGGGTAAAGAGAGGATATCAGTCTTTCACATAAAAGGGACTACAGATTTTAGGACCTTGAGGTAGAAAGGAACATAATGATGTGAAGAGTAATAGATCAGAGTGGTTGGAATGGCTTAGGGCCAGGGCAGAGAGGTGAATAATGAGGCTGGAGAGATGGGGCAGGTCATACAGGGTTATGTGGCCTTTTCAAGAGAATCTTATTGCACTTTATCTTCTCTTCTAAACATATGTACACAGCCAACATCATTACCAAACAAAAACCTGCTCACCCAAACAGCTGGTCTGGATTTACATTTATTTAATCAAGCAGAAATTTTCATACAGTATCTGAATATTTCCTTCATGAAATTCATATTGACATTCACTTGAAGTCAAATTATTAATTATTATTGAAATCAAATGTATAAACTTTAAAAATCATCTAGGGGATTCTATATAAGTTATATACTTTATATTTATGATAAATGATTTCAGTTTAGATGTGGAAAAGATCTAGGTAGGGAGCTATGTGTCTACCATATCTGCATATAAAATGATCAAATAGTAATCATAATACTCAATTGATTTCAAAACATGTAATTGTTTATTCAGTATTTTAATAGAAAACTATCATGTAAAATACATCTTGGGATGGCTTAAATATGAATTTGATACCCAATTTAAGAATATGTGCCAACAACAAAAGTGGAAAACTTACCTGCTAATACTTCCTGTTTGTACCATATATACCTAAAAGGAACTGTCCAAAAGTTCATATGGGAACTCTTATTCTCCTACCTAATCCTGCAGTGAGAATAATATTTAACCTTACCTCATAGAACATTTAATCTGATAAATGTGGCTTGAATTTCAGAAGGATTTAGTTAACAATAGAGAAATTTTCTAAAGTTTCATGATTTAGAGAACCTAAAAAATTGTATATTTTAATTTTCAAACTTACCTGATATAAATAATCTTCAAATACAAAATAGTAATCATCATTGCTTGCTGTCAACTTCACATCCTATATTAAAAATAAAGTGTACTGAAAAGAATCTAAATGAATCTATTTGTAGTCCTAAAGAATACATCAAATATTTAGAAACAATATTGCAATGAATTGATTACTTTATGTAACATTATAAAAACTTCTCAATTAGATTTTTATCAGTGCTATATATTTTTTGAGAAATATATGTGACACATTATTTGATTTCAAATTTTTATACTTTTTAAAGTATTGATTAATAACTATTATTTATTTCAATTTTATCTTTTAAACCTAATCATTAGATGTCTTACAGCTTGAAAGAAAAGTGATACAATCGTAATACTCAGAAGTAACCATAACAATTTGGCTCACCTTCACTGTTCAAATCCACATACTTTCTATTCCTTCAAAATACCAATTATCTTCCATACCTTTATGGTTATTCACTTGCAAGTTACCACTAGTCACTGAGAGGCTAGTAACATTGATTTTCTGCCTCATGAATTCATCTGTTAAAGGCTAGTTTATTGACTTCTTCTTCGTAGAATATTAGCTCTTTCCTTTAACTATAGGTAACTACCCTCACTCCCTGACCTAAGACTATGTAAAAAAATCTTTACTCTCCCTATGAAGTTAGGCTGTTTGAGAAATGCTTATTCTCTTAACGAAAAAACAGAAGGGCCAGAAAAGTATCATGAGGTAGCTTCATAGGAAAAGAAGATAACAATGAATGCAAGCTGCAAACTTTGAACACCAACATTAACTTTATAGTTATAATGATTACTTTACATTACTTTTCAAATTTAATGTGTATTACTGTACATAATGCAGGCCCTGCATATTGAAAACTCTCAATTTTAAGTGATAATGATGAAATGTAAAAAAGTATGCATACTTCTACTTACTTTATAAATTAGACTGTCCACCAAAAGGTCATGTTGTATCACATTGGTCTTAAGCTGCTCATAATATAAGAGATCCTAAATTTAAAAGTTATACAAAAAATTAAAGATCAATAACATTTATAAAGTCAGCCTCAAACTTTAATAAGCAATAATCATTAAATTATTGTAAATAATAAGAGGGTGGGATCTCTGTTTTATTCACTACTATATCCCCATGACTGACCAATATTAGATGTTCAATGAATATGCCTATTCCCATCATTTAAGATAACATCTGGCATCTGATAGGTATTCAATCAATATTTGCTAAAGTGCTTATAGTTTAACTTTAATAACAAATACCATATTTTTGGAGTAGTTACTAAATGCTAGGCACTATTTTACCTACTAGATATGAATGAACTCACTCCCATACCAACAAAATAAAACAGATCATTGATTACTAGTTACATGAACATTTGAGAAGTTAAACTAAGATCCAGAGAGAAAACTAACTTCCTGCCCAAGGTCATAAAGCTAGTAAAATTTTACCTCACAGCTTATAGAAACACCTAGGAAGACTGTACTGCTTTTCTAATAACTAAAATTATCTTAAGATAATAAGGTTTAAGCATAGGAATCATGCAGTCACATAGTACTGTATACATGCTACACTATAGATCAAACGGACTTAACAGAAATCTACAGAGCATTTCATCCAACAACTGCAGAATAAATATCCTATTCAGCAGCTCATAAAACTTTCTCCAAAACAGATAATTTTTAGGCCATAAGAACAGAATTTAAACATTTTAAATTTGAGGTATTTGTAAGAAATAAAAGTGATTAGTCCATGAGGCAGCTGCATCTGAAGCTTGAGAAAGATATCTGAGATCTATTGATTTTAGGTAATTGGTAAGTGAAGCTATGGGAGTTGATGAGATTTACCAAAGAATATCTGAATGAGAAGAGACAGAACATCAAGAACACTAACTTAAGGGCTGCAAATGTAGCTTAGTGGTGGAGACATTGGACTCAATCCTAAGTACTGGAAAACAAAAAAAGAAAAAGAAAGGAAAAAAGAGAAATAATAGCTTTATGGGGGTGAAATACCGCTCATGTCTCTAACTTCTCAATTACACGTGCAGTTAAAGTGATTAAAAATTAATTGAGCAAAAGTTCTATTCAAGCATTCTTGACAAAAATTTTTTTTTCTCTTTCTCTCTTTCTTTCTTTCTTTCTTCCTTCCTTCCTTCCTTCCTTCCTTCCTAATATACCACATACAATGATTATTTTGGCACTGGTATACTTCACTGAGATAATACTTCCAGGGCTGAAATTAAGAGTAAGTGGTGGAAGGTCTTTTAATCAATAAAATTAAGATTATTTTTCTGAAAATCTAAATTTCTATCCACTGACGTTAAATAGGCTTGTCACCTTGCATTTAGAAAATTCAAGTGGTAGTTACCTCTAAAATTCAAGCGTAAAAGCCATTTTTGAGCATTGTAATAAACAGTCACCTGGGATTACTAGGATGATATTTCTGGAAACATGCTCAATTTGTTCTCAAAGAGGCAAATAATTCCCTTTCAAAGAGACAGAATTTGGTAATCTAACTCCTGAAAAGTGAAGTTGGCAGGTTATAAGCAGTAAGATCCAGAAGGGTTACACTTTCTATAAGAACTGATTCACTCACACACACACACAAAAGCTCCACTTACATTAAAACTTATTTTGTCAAAGGTTAACTTTAAAGTGGTACATAAAGGATTAGCAATATCATTTTGTCTAAAACTGCACTGAAATCACTAGCTTTATTCTTTCAAAAGGAAAGTGATTTTTTGTAGTGCTATTTACGGAGAGAGATATAAAACAACATACATGTATGCATAATTTCCAAGTTAGATGTGTAGTTTTTATTATACATATGAATAATGTTTGATTTTCTTAAAACATGCATTACTTTTTCATGTTTTCATGTTAATTCCATTCCCTTCTTTCCTTTCCCCTACCCCTCCCACTTCCCCTTCCCCTTTGCCACTTTTCTTCCTATTTCTTTGTAAATAGGGAGGGATGGAGGGGTTGAAGGGAGGGCAGGGGGAGGGGGAAAAATAAGAACCAAGAGAGAGTATGTAAAGGTGCAAATTTCCAATGATGAATGTCATTATATTGTATATCTAAAATGTACCAATAAAAGGATACACAAAAAAACCCCTGCATTATTAATTATAATTAATTTATAACAATTATATGGAACATGTAATTATTATGATTACTAACATTAGTGGTGCCCATTTGTGTACCAAGCACTGTTAAAAAATTCTCAGAAGTTATTGGATATACTTGTCATAATAATTTCATGACATAAATATTACTACCTTATTTAAGTATGGATTAACAGGTTTGAAGAAATTTAAGCAACTTGTTCAATGATATATTTTTAGTAAGTTGAGAGAGCTAGGAATTGAAACCTGGCTTATATGATTCTAAAATTCATATTTTTAATCACAGGCTGGGGAGCTTTTAGTGTGATATCCATCTTTCAATAGATGATTTCTGTGACTAAAGAGCTTATGCTAGATTTATACCTATTCGAAAAAGAATACTTCAGGCAGAATCAAAGATCAATGTTCTATATAATTTTTCTTTACTAAATCTATTACTTGCCTGTTGGGAATCTGCACTTCATATATATTATATTTCCTAAAACAAAATACTCTTACACTTGGAAAATAATATTTTTATACTATCTGCAAATATTGTATGTTTCACAGGTAACTGTAAGAACAATGAACTCATTTACTTTACCGAGTTGCCTTTTCTATTTTAACATTCTAATTCTATCATGCATCTTCACTGATCTAAATAATCAACTCCCCCTTCTCAAAATTTTACGATTATTTTGTTATATACAAACTACTTGATTATGAGTAACAAAAACTTCTATGTTAAGTGCACTGATTAAATTATAGGTTAAATTGTAGAATCCAAAACTATAGTTAATTTGAAAATAAAAAGAGGAATAAATAATGGACTAAGAAAGGTTTTTCTACTTTTAATAATTGATCTTTGAAAAACAAGCATTAATAGCTCAAGCTATTTCTTTTCCTTCTTACCTCCGGTTGACTGGAAATATTTAAAATGAGAGCCCACAGTTCAGCTCTCAGTGCCGTGGGGCTCCCTTGTCTGATATACTGCTGAGCAGCAGCACTGTCTTGTTCTGCTAGAACTGTTAAAAATATATTAAAATCTCATTAGAAAATTCATAATGTAGGAAATATCACTGAAATATTTAATAGTAAATCTCTTGAGAAGCCAACATCTACTCTGACATAATTACATTGTATCCTTTTCTTCTTTGATTCTCTTGATTTTAATATGGTTCTATTGACAATCCTAAATGTTTCAAGCCTTAAACCTCTCCAGGTGAGACCAGCCTGTGAAATGTTTTTGTTTGCTTGTTTGTTTTTATTTTTACTGGGGATAAAACCCAGGGCCTCCTCAGCCCTTTTTATTTTTATTTTTAATTTTGAGACAGGGTCTCTCTAAATTACAAGTTGAACTGGAACTTACAATCTTCCTTCCTCAGCCTCCTGAATAGCTGGGGTCACAGGCATGTGTCACCACATCCAGTTAAGCTCTTACTTTTTTTTATTAGTATATGTATGCAATACATAATAATTACATTCATCTTGGGAACTGATATATATATATATATATATATATATATATATATATATACATGTCACATCTTAGTCATTTTTACTTCCTCTTAATGTACCTTGAGATCACTTTGCTTTAAATAACTCCATGGATCTGAAACTACTAGTTCTGTAGAAAATTTTTTGATTCTACAATCAAGCACTTACATCCATAGAACCCTTAAATTTCTTATATTTTCTACTAAATCATGAATGTATTAGTATTGGAAGTAAAATGGTATGAGAAGCATCACAACTAAGAGTTATAGTATGCAAAAATAAAAGGTATCTATTATAATAGAAGACTTCTTTGATATCTGAAAAAATCAGTAAGAAAAAAGGGATTTTTAATGAAGTGAAAATAAAGATCTGACAAACTTTTACAAAGGTCAAAATTATTTGAAGCAGTCAAGTTCATAAAATTAATACATTTTTGCCTTCATTTTCATTTTTAATTCCTTTAATGAAAATATCAGCTATTCAGTCTGGAAATAAAGGTCCACAAAATAAAACAGAAGACACACTACGCAACTGCTAGTGTTTGACTAACAGTTCTATATTCTTTTGGTTCCTCTTAAAATGGGAAAAGTATTTTATACTAAATAAAAATAGCATCACTAGAAAAAATAAAGGGATCATATAAAATAAAAATGAGACATAGCCTTTAATTTAAAACTGTGTTTAATGAAAGTGTCAAATCCTACAAATGAGATTCTTTCAATAAATACAATTCTGAAAAGTTGAATTAGGGAGCTAGGTACATGACAATATGATTGTCACAGAAGGTTCACTGTGACAGAAAGACACAGCACTTCATAGTTCAAAGACAAAACAAGATTTACTGGGGGGAGAGAAAAGAAATCTTCAAAAGATGGGGAAAAATTATTCCCTAAGATATGGAGAGCTGCATCAGTTATTAATGTTCACCATTGTGAACAGTCACCGCGAACTGTTACAGTTACATTCTCTCCTGATGTAGAAACATATTCTCATTAACACTAATGAGAGGTTTGTGGGTGCATCCAAGAGAAAACCTGCCTCTTTGAATGTAAAATGGAATTCTACTGCTGACTGTTTTAACCTCACCTGCTGAAGAATGTGTCTGCATTTCCTTTTCAAGGAACCAGCTATGTATCTCTTTATCTGATACTCACTGATAAAACTATAATAATGCGTATTCCTTCTGACAAAAGATTCCCAAAATGAGATTATCTACATAGTTAAATATTACTCCTCTTTAGATATTCAGATATTAAATTTCAGTTAGTGATATTTTATGGAGACATTTATGGAGAAATTTCTCATTTTTCAGATATAATAAAGAAAAACTAAAAGCTTACCTTTTTGCCCAATACGCACATGCTCATTTTCAAAAAATTCTAAAAATGGTAAAAAACGTAAAAGTATTAGGTACAAATATGATCAATCACAGTTAAAGTTAGAGGCAATTTTTTTTTCTGGCATTGATACTTTGCATTATTTTAAAAGTTAGATGGCTCTATAGAAAACTAAAATTATTTATTTTATACATAGAAAAATCTTTTTTCTAGATTGTTTCAAAGTAAGTTCAAGCCAAGTGTGGTACACATACATGTAGTCTCAGCATATTACCTGCTCCCTGCCTCAAAAAGCTGAGGCAGGAAGAAAATCCAAAGTTAGAGGGCAGCCTGGGCTACACAGCAAGTTTGCAGCTAGCCCTGACTACACAATGAAACCCAATCTCAAAAGAAAATTGAAGAAAAACGGGACTTCATACATTTAATTGTAAGAAAAAATAAAATGAAGTATTTCCTCTTTGTTCAGAGTGTCTTCTCATAACTCAAAACTATTTCTGCATATTCATCGTTTTTTTGTTTTTTTTGTTTTTTTGGTACCAGGGATTGAACTCACGACCTTGCACTTGTGAGCCAGGCGGCGGCGCCACGGAGCTAAATCCCCAGATCATCTTTTATTCTTAAAAAACGTAAACTTGTTGACAGCTTCATTTGTAAAGTCTTACTTTTACTCCAATCTACCATTAAAATATATCAAATAATAGCATATCTTACATAGGTAAAGTCCACTGTACAAATGTCATTTTAAAATATTTCATAGCAGTGATTACTTGTTTTAAAACTATCAATCATAATTTTAAAATTCACATGCTAGGCCATATTAAAATTTAAAAACTGTTCACCAAAAAATAACACCATTAAGAGTATCAATAAGTAAGTCACAGAATGGAAGATTATATATGCAGTAGGCATATCTAGCTCACATCTAGAATATATGAAACACATACAACTGTCAAATCATAAAACTGTCAGACACAAAAAGGCAAAAATGGTGATTTAAAGAGTAATAAGCATATGAAAAGTTCCTCAACCACTTTAGTTGTCAGAGAAATATAATTAGAATCATTATGAAATATCAACCACCACAAAGGTGAAAATGAAAATACTCATACTTCTAAATGCAAAAAGTTTGAAGCAAATGAACTTATGTAAAGCTGTCAGCAGTGTAAACTGATAAAATCCCTTTGAAAAATTGGCACTCTCTACTAGTATTGAAAACATGCATACAATAAAATCCCTTTGGAAAACTTGCACTATCTACTAACATTGAACATATGCATATAATATAATGAGCAGTTCACTCTCAAATATATGTCCTAATAAGCACATATGTGCACCTGGAGACAAAGTGAGATAGTCACAGAAGTACCACTGATAATAACCAACTAGTGGAAATTATTCAAATGACCATTGACAAGAGATAAGATTCATAGTGATATAGCACTATCAATTGGTAGATTACAGTATAGCAGTGGCAATGAGTAATGTACAATTCTATACAAAACTACAGTTCTTACAAATGACATTAAGTAAAAGAAACCAGACACAAAAGAGTACATAACTTATAAAGTATAAAAATAGGCAAATCTAACCAATGACGTTAGAAGTCAGGACAGGTGTGCCCATGGAGGTGGTAGAGTCCATAAATGTGCCTAAGGGGGTTTCTAGGGTGCTGGCAACACTGTTCCTTGATCAGGTTGGAGGTTATACAAGTGTTTTCACATCATAAAATTTCACTGCTCTGTGCTTAGAACTTGTATACTTTTAAACATGTATGTTATACTTCTATAACAGTTATTTTAAATTTAGTACCAAAACAAAGATTATGAAACCATGAGAATTATTAGATCTTTCCCCATCCTACAGAAGCATCCGTTTTTCAACTTCCTTTCCTCCATCTACTCCCCACCTCTAGGTATAAGGCATGGACATAGAAGGAAGAGAGAAAAATTCATAATTTTTTTTTTTTTTTGCTAAATAGGATATCTGAAGCAAAGTATCCAATTTTTTTGTTCAATTCTTAATATCTCTGAAGTAATTAGCTGAGCGGATTATACAATAACTTAGGAAAGTATCTGGGATCGCTACAAGCATACAATCATTTTCTATTACTATTTGAATATATTTATTTCAAAGACTGTATATAAAGTAAAAATAGTTTCATTTTAATTAGCTATGATTGATGAGGCTTGGAAACCAAAGGATCAAACATTGTCTGCCAATTCTTAGTATATGTGCTGCTGAAGCGAGCACTTGTCTGCCAATTCTTGTTCCCTAATAGAAGTGGATATTACTAGATGACATTAATACTTTATTACCTAAAGTAGTACTGTATATGTCCTAATAACTACATATGTGCACCCAAAGAAAATACTAGAAATATTCAAAAAGACTTCTTTATAGAATTTAACTATTCTATTATGGGACATAGAATGTTTTTGTTTTCTAAATGCTATTTTCTAGACCAAGAAGCCCAAAGAAGTGAGAACTAGAATTTTCAACCTATAATTTTATGTTTCTCAGAATATTCTGAGGACCACAATATGTTAATAGATGTATCTACGTTAATAGATCTTGTTTGGAAAATAACTTTCTCTGATAAAGTTAAGTTTTGGAGATTTTAAGCTAAAATAGTTTCCTTAGGACTTAGAGTCTTTAAGTAGTGGCACACACTCTTTACCTTATAAGTTATATAGGGCAGCCTTCCTAAGTCTTATTTGACAAGATACACTCTTTTCCGCAGAGCATTTTATGAGTGCCTCTTAATCACACTTCAGGAAATCCTGTACCAACTGATTTTTTTTTTTAGAAAGAACAAGCTGTAGAAAATGTCTATTTAGCAGAATCTCTTTTTAATAATATTCATCATTATGTATATTTAGACAACAATAACAGACCTGTGACCACCAATGCTGGCTGATCCTGCTCAAACTGTTAATATTAGTCTTAGTTTCCTGAGTGTGTGTGTGTGTGTGTGTGTGTGTGTGTGTGTGTTCAAAATAAATGCAAACCTGGGAGAATTTGGAAATAATGGCTATACCTAATTTTTTAAACATTCATTAAATAAGAATTCTATTGTATAATGGTAAGGACTTCTGACTATTTTATGAAAGCTGATAAATTAGAAAGTGAAGAATGCACTTTAAATAAAAGAGAATAACAGTAATGATAAAACATTGGTAACACAAGTTTTAAAAATGAACAAGTAAAAAGAAACAGTTTAAGTCACACATAAACTTAATCTTAAATGTAAAACTTACCTCTAGCCAAATATAAATAATAGTAATACTTTCAAACATTTAACATTATGTTTCCAATTTAACCAAAGGCATAGACATAGGCTAAAAAAATAGTGAATGCTAGGCAAAAGCAGTTTAAAGTAGTTACATATAAAAGCAGTAGACCCCATTCTTTTTTTTAATCCTTTTGTCTAACAATTCTCAAGTCAGACAAAAGTAGAAGTACTATACCATGAAAAACACATTGGAAGAACACTAACTCAATTTTTAACTACAAGCATAACACTACATTTCCCAAACACATTCCTTATTTTTCTACTGTACATTTTTACTTTAGCGTAATAGTAGTCAGCTTTGTGTCTCAGTGCCTTTCCCTGAGGGATACAGGAAGCAACCTTTGTGTTTACTCACTTGGTACTGTGAACGGCAAGGTGTATGCATGTGTGCAAAAGTATCAAACCAGGATTTTCACCCACATGATGCTCTAGCTAACAGGTTTTGCATATGTTTACCAGAGCATCACAGAGGGTATAATACACTCACATCATTCTAGGATTTGTTTTACAGAAAGTTTTCTTTTGATTTTTCTGGTAGAAGTAGCACAATTCAGTGCAATGGCACATTAAAAACCAGATTTGCAAGTTTTGGAGATCAAAAGTGAATCATCAGATTACTTATGCATGGATAATGAAGATTATCCATTATGGTAAAATACATGTTTTCATAACAGAAGAGTGGTATGGGTGGATGATGATGATGATGATGATGATGACAACTTTGATGTTGGTCATGTGAGCCAAAGTTCCTGTGACAGTGAAATCGCAAGAATCAACTGATATGGATACAGGGAATGCAGATCTCTTTGACTCAGATGACAAAGAAAACTGTGATGTGAGTGCATATTTGACTAGTCAAAATGTTGCAAAATGGTCACACAGCCAAATGGAATGATCTACTGTTAGAACTAGGTCCAAAACCATAGTAAGGATTGTGGCAGGGGTGAAACCTATTGGACAGAATGCCAGCATTGTCATTCAATGTTGGAAATTGTAATAGATGAAATGCTACAAGACATTGTGAAATACACAAAGGCTGAAATCCAAGTAAAATGTTCTGTATGCACCAATAGCCATATTAAAAAATGTTTTTATTATGACCTGAATAAAAGCAGTGATAGGTTGGCTGTACTTAGCAGGGATTTTTCATAGTAATTGCAGGAATGTAAAAGACTTACGGAAAAGTGATGGGTCAAAATATAGCATAAAAATTTATGCCCTTGTAGATGCAAAGACTTATTATGCTTTCAATTTGGAAATTTATCCTGAAACTCAGTCATCAGAAGCTTATTCATATAGTAACAAACTGAATGATGCTGCAAACAGACTTGTTGCTCCCATCTCCCAAACTAATTGGAATGTGACATTCAACAATTGGTTTACCAGTTTCCAATTGATATTATATTTGCTAACAGAGCACAAGTTGATCAGCACAGGAATAGTATACAGGAACAAAGAAGAAATTCCAAATGAAAAGTTGCAATTTCAAAACAGAGAATTGTGTAGTACAATCTTTGGATTTCAGAAAGATTTACACTGGCCATGTATATGGCAAAGAAAAACAAACTAGTACTGCTGATATCAACATTGCACCAAGATGGAAATATTGATAAGGAAACCTTGACAAAACAGAAACCTGAGATGGAAATTTCCTAACAAAATGAAAGGCAGAGTCAATGTTGTTGATGAGTTATGCAGCAACTATGATGTCACTTGAAATACAAAGCATTGGCCAATGGTTGTGTTTTAC